TCAAATTGGATCTGACTGGTACAGGAGACTGCCCCTCCTTCTCCAGCAGAGCATGAAGTAGAGTCTGGGTCATCCCCCCCCCACCCCCGGTGCCTGTCGGGGCCTGGGTTTCAGCTGTCCACACCACAGCAGTGGGCAACGAGCTTGAAGCCCCTGATGGCTCTGGGCACTGACTCTCACCAGTGGCTATGGATGAAGTCACAGGCGATTTTCAGCCAGCGCCTGAAGAAATAAATTTTTAAGTTAGTGTTTGAGATTTGTCTGCACCCCCAGCCCCAGAGAGGGATGCTTCCTGCTGTCTCCATAAAAACACTCAGCCTACGGTTTAGTAACAAAAACTCACTGCCATTGATTCCAATTCTGACTCATTGCATCCATTTTCTAAGGCTTTAAATATTTAAGAGAGGAGACTGCCCATTTTTTTTCCTGGGCAGCTGCTGGTGGATTCAAATTGTCAACCTTTCCAAAAGCATCACCACCAGAACTCCTACAGTTTAGTATGTAAATAGATACAGATAAGGGGATGAATTTACCAGTCTCCTACAAACTCTGCTGATTTTCAGTATGCTCCTAAGTTTTAACTTCGCACTCGATTGTAAATGGAAGCCCTGCAGCTGAGAGTAGGATCAGTGGCATACTTCTCAGGTATGACTAATTGCTCCTTTCTAAGAGCTAAGGATTTTTGGGGTGGGGATAAGAGTGTGAGGGGGAATGGATACCTGGTTAACTCTCAGCCTTGCAGCTGCTCTCTGGCCTGAGATAAAAGTAACAAGCAGAAGAAAACCTCCATCTTTCAGGCAAACGGACTTGAAACTTAGCCTTAGTAGCAGGTAGCTGGGGGCAAATGAAAAGTTCTGTCATCTTGCACTTTCTAGGAAGATAGCTCTCTACATGGGAGCTGGAAGAAGGAGCCTTGTGTTCCTTATTCTACTTTAGTGGAATTTCTGGCTCATTGAGCTGGTAGGAGGGTACAGGGGAAAAGGGAGAATAGCAAACACCACAGAGTCATAATTCTTACCAAATATGACTAGATCTTCTCAAACAACTCTTTCATATACCCCTAGGACCATATCCAAAGGTTTTAAATTGTTCTTTTATAATTGCCATCATTTTTCACTTGGTCAGAGTCCTGATGGCACAATGGAATAAGCCCTCGGCTACTGACTAAAAATGTCAGTGGTTTGAATTCACCAGCCAAATTTGGGTAGCCCGGGAAACTCTTAAGAATCAGTTCTGCTCATTATGAGGGTCACTATGAGTAAAAATCTACAGTAGGTTTAGGGTATTTTTAAATTATTTAAATACTGTTTTAATTTTACATTGGTGTTGGTTTGGAGTATTTTTGTTGTTCATTGGTAGCATCTCTTTGGAGCTTGCATGCTGTCATGTAAGAAAGCAAAATCTGGACATTTTCTTTTCTGACTGCATTGTCATTATCACACTCAGCAAAATTAGCCATAATTGTCTGATGTCATTTAATACCCAATTCATAACTTGCTCAATTTGGAGGTATTAATTTTAATTTAAAACTTGAATCTGATTATGTGATATTGATTATGAGCTAATGGTGACAGTAAATAGTGTTAAAGAAAAATATTCTCATCTTCCCTTTAAACTTAATTCTTAACCTTTCACAGAAATGAAAAACTCATGATATGGAGAGAATTGGGGAAAGTTTTAACTTAAATAAATCATAACTAGTGTATCAAATTGTTGTTGTTGTTATGTGCCGTCGAGTCGTTTGCGACTCATAGCGACCCTATGCACAACAGCCCTAAACCCTGCTCTATCCTGTGCCAACCGCACCG